GCAGAACACACACAGCGCAGAGCAGTGAGCCATGTCCTCAAAACTCATGTCCACCCGGAACCTGTGAACGGGGCCTGTGTGGAAGGAGGGTCTTTGCAGATGTAATTATGGAAGGATCTCAAGATGAGATCACCCTTGATTAGGGTGGCCCTAAATCCAATGACAGGTGTCCTCATAAGGGACAGAAGAGGAGACACAGACACAGAGGAGAAGCCACGTGAAGACAGAGGCAGAGACTGGAGTGATGTGGCCACAAGCCCAGGGATGCCTGGAGCCACCAGGAGCTGGAAGAGGCAGGAAGGATCCTCTCCTGGAGCCTCTGGAGGGAGCACGGCCCTGCCACACCTGGACCTCAGACTTCTGCCTGCAGAACTGGGAGACGATCAATTCCTGTTGTCGGAAGCCACTAGTTTGTGGTCATTTGTTACAGCAGCCCCAGGTAAGTAATATACCAAGAGATGCATGTTAATTGCAGAAAAATAAGAATGTATAAATAAGTAAACAAAATTAAAACCCTCTATTGACATTGTAATATATATTTTTATATATATGTTTTATATATATTATATATGGACCCATTTGTACATGGGAAGAATCCATTTGCACATTATACAATATGTATGTTTTTATATAGTCTTTAAATAAACAGGATTTTACAGTGAATATCGTCAGCATTTCCTATACTGGTAAACACGGAACTGGCGCAGTGTAACGCGGCTTTTGGACTGAATTGTGGCATCTCGGAGCAGGGCAGAGAGGGCACGCGTCATGGCCCTCAGCCACGGGCCTCCCGCATCCACCCCCTGAGGACCCAGAACCACCCTAATCTTCACCAACGTGCTCACTGAAAAGTGAACATCGAGTGTTTTTCTCTGAATTCTCTCATGACGCGTGGGTTTGGATATTTTTTCACACACTTGTGAGTCATCTGTGTTTCTCCTTTGGCGAATCTCCCGTATTGCCCTGGGGAGCCCTCGTTCCTGGTGTGGGTTTGTAAAAACTCTTTCTGTGCCAAGCCAGCATCCCTGGGCGTGTTGTGCGAGTGGAGACATATTGTTTCAAGTCTGCCATGGGCTGGGTTTCCTGGGGTAGAGACGGGCTCCCAGGGATAGGTTAGTGGGAATTGCTCATGAAGCAAGAGAGGGACTATCTGTGTCCTGGTTCCCTCTGTGCCCCTTGCAGGTGCAACTTTCCTGGGGATGGGACTGAAGTCCCTGGGGAGGGACTCAGCTGCAAACCAACAGCATCAGGAGTGCCCGGTCCTCAGGGGGCCTTCTGGTGCCGAGTGTCCTGCGGCTGCTGCGGCAAATGACCACAGTGACCAGGTTAAAACAGAACAGAGGAATCACCTTATGGTTCTGGAGGCCACACACCTAAAATGCATCACAGGGCTAAGGTTAGGGTCAGGCTGTGGCAGGGCCGGGAGGCTCCAGGGGAGGCCATTTCCTCCTTTTTCCAGCTTCCAGAGACCCAGCATCCAGGGCGTGTGGCGCTTTCCTCCATCTGCAAAGCCAGCAGTGCAGCATCTTTAATCTGTCTTGACTCTGACCCTCCTGCCTCCTCCTCCAAGGACCCTGTGAGGACCTCGGGCCCCCGGAGAAAGCCAGGACTGTCCCTCATCTCAGCTACTCTATTTGATTGCACGTGCAGAGTCGTCGGCCACAGGGTCACGTGTTCACAGACTCCGGGCATCAGGACACAAACATCTTTAAGACATTATTCAGTGACCGCAGGGACATCCCATGGCCTCTGCTGTAAGAGCTAACTTTTGTGTATACAGTTTCTTAATGAAGGAAGATTTAAATTTTTGTTTATGAAGTCAAATCTGTCTTTTCCTCTGTGGCTTTTGCATTTACTATCATCCTCAGAAAGGCTGACCACAGATTTGCCTCTATACTGTCACGGAACTCTCTTATTTTACCATTTTGATCTTTAAACATCCAGTAACACATTTAGATGTAAAATAAAAGGCAAGCGTCTCACTTGGCCTTTCCGTCCACTGATCCGAAATGTCTCCTTGTGACTGTGTTAAATTCTTAGAATTATATCCACTTTCACATTCCACATTCTGATCCCTTGACCTACGGAATCAGTGTGATGGTGTTTTAATTATTGCTGCAGCTTTATTAATTTATAGCAGTGGCTTCCACAGCAAATTCTACTTTCTTACTCCTTTTTTTTTTCCCCTGAAGTTTTCTGGATAGTCTTAACATTTTTAAATCCAGATAACTTGAGGGTTATTGCGTCGGGTGAGAGAAGCGTCTCGGAGGGCCTGTGTTGGGCTGGGGGACAGTCTGAGGCGGGAGGTCTCTGCCCACGGGGAGCTCCCTCCCAGGGTCTGGACATGTCTTTCTGTCCATCCACGTCTTCCACATTCCTTACCGATCGCGCCTGTTTTCTGTATCTACATGCGGCAAATTGCTCAACTTATTTCTATGCATTTTATATTTTATTGCTATTGTAAATGGAGGGTCATTTTTCATTGTGCTTTCTAACTGGTAAATTTTGATACAAATTGTATATTTAAAATTATTAGCAGCCATACAGCATCGTAGTGATTTCTAAGTGGTGTAGTCAAACTCACTTTTACCCTTTCCTGCTGCCTTGGGACGGGGTCTCCAACACCACGGCTCCCGCAAACCTGCATCCCACGGATGTCCCCCCGCAGGGCTGCAGCCACCAGCCCACCCCACACACCCCACACTGCGCTGTGCCATCTGAGATGACCCCTCTCAGCAGGGGGAGCATGAGGAAGGGGAGCCAGGACCTCCTCGCCCTTCATAACAGGGACGGCAGTTTAGTGAGGGGCTGCAGCTCCAGAATTCTATCTGAAAATAAGCTCTTAACACTGAAAACGTTGTTTGCGTAGCTGAGATTTCCCAAAGGCAGAGGCATTAAAGAGATGAACGGCAGCCTCGTATCAGGTGACGGAGTGAAGACACGCTCCCTTCATGAAAATCAGCCAGTGCACGGGAGAGCTGGGAGGGGTCCTGAGGTGTCCAGGGGCATCGGATGCCGAGCTGGGAGCGGGCGGGCTGCCAGACTCTGCACGTCCCCACATGCAGGGACTCGGACCTTCGTGTTAGGGATGACGGACCAGCACACAGCCAAACACTGGGGGCTGAAAACAACTGACTTTATGCCCTCTCGGTTCTGGAGTCCAGAAGTCTGAGATCCAGGTGTGGCAGGGCCACGCTCCCTCCAGAGGCCCCAGGAGAGGATCCTTCCTTCCTCTCCCAGCTCCTGGTGGCTCCAGGAGTCCCTGGGCTTGTGGCTGCATCACTCCAGTCCCTGGTTCCATCTTCACGTGGCTTTTCCTCTGTGTCTGTGTCTCCTCTTCTGTCTCTTATGAGGACACCTGTCATTGGATTTAGGGCCACCCTAATCCAGGATGGTCTCAACTAATTATACCTGCAAAGACCCTCTTTCCACATAAGGTCCCATTCTCAGGTGACACCATTCACCCCACCGCATCAGGTGTTATTACACCTCCCAGTTGTGCCTCAGGCTCAGGCCTGACCCAGGGAGGTCTCTCCTCTCTGAAGTCCTGACAGCACTGCACAGCCAGGCCATTCCAGCAGTAGGATTGAGGCCGTTGGGGGAGTCTAAGTGGCAGAACAACTGGCAGCTCTCCGGAAAAAATACAGAACAGATCCTGCTCCACCAAAATAAGTGCATGAATCAAAGATTTAAATGTCTTTTTAAAGGTTATAGAATTCTAGAAGAGAACCACCAGGGTCAGCAAACACATGGACGAATCTCAACAGCATTGCTGAGTGAAAGCAGCAGATACCTGAGTATATTCTGTAGGATTTCCTCAGTGGAAAGTTCTAGAAGAGGCAAAAGGAACCTGGAGTGGAAGAAGTCAGGACATGGCTTGCTTTGGTGGGGAGAGTGCTGACTGGCAATGTTTCGGGGGACAGATGTCCCGTATCTCACCAGGGCGGCAGTCATGAGATCCACGTCCCTGTTTATGCTTCTGTGTACACAGAACATCCCAGAAAGGGTCCCTGGGCCTCTATGGCAGGAAGGGGGTTCTCCAGGCAGGGACAGCGCAGAGCTGCCTTTCCGTGCCCTCCTGTCACAGAATCTGATCTAAAATGTACTGAGTATGCAGGGTACAAACTGAAAACAGGGGCTCAAAGAAATACGTGCACACCAGTGTTCACAGCAGAGCTCCTCGCTACAGCCAAAAGGCGGATGCAGCCCCAGTGTCCATCCACAGATGGATGGACGCGATTCAACAACCATGGTAAAAAAAAAAACCCAAAAAACAGAAACAAAAACAGACGGATGTATAAACATAATGTGGTCCACCCACACAGTGGAATATTACCCAGCCATGAAAAGAATGAAGCTCTGACACCTGCTGTAACGTGGATGAACCTTGAACACATGATGCCCAGTGACAGGCGCCAGACACAGAAGACCACACAGTGTGTGATTCCATTTACATGAAATGTCCAGAACAGGCAAATCCACAGAGACAGGAGCAGATTAGTGGTCACCAGGGGCTACGGGGACTGCTGATGGGGGTGGGGTCTCCTTTTGGGGTGGTGGGAATGTTCTGGAACTAGATAGAGGTGGTGTTTGCACAACATTGTGGATGGACTAGATGCCCCTGAATTGTTCACCTTAAATGGGTGACTTGTGTGGTGTGTGAATTACATCTTGATAAAGCCATGAAGAATAGAGTGTGCAGGGGCAGATGTCACACCTGAACCCGCTGGTTATGACCTCCTTTAAAAGAGACACCATTGGGTCCCTTTCCTGTCTCCTTATCTTGCTCCATGTTGCATTTCAAAACCAGCCCCCTCATGCTGAACGAGGTAGGGAGCCGGGAGGGCAGACCCCACTCGGCCGGCCCTGCGGGCAGTGGGGATAGCCGAGGGCAGCAT